TTGTGGGACTTTACTTATGCAAATGGCTATGATATTTCTCTACAAATAGTCACAATTGACAGTAATTAATTGTGAAGCACTGAGACATTTCTTCAATCTGCATTTCTCCCTTCAGAAGGAAGAGTTGCGGGGGGAGAGAAATCGGGGCATTTCATTCTATTATTTTGAACCTTAAGCAGCTGTATCAAAGCCCAGGAGAGCGACCTAAAGTAATTGTACTTCAGATAACTGAAAACACAAAAAAAAACTTGGAACTCAATCCCTCAAAGGATAAGATGCTGTATTTAACTAATGAGGGAGTTTCAAGGACTACAAGAGTGCAAACTAAAATAGTTTTACCTAATACTTGAGATTGTGTTACACTTTATTAGCATTTATTCAATATTAATGTCAAATGCAGAAAGAAGTGGTAGAATGGCCTGCAGATGTTTTAACAACAGATGTTGATAATAAATATCATGAAATGTGCACAAGAATTGTTTCATACTTCATTTTGATCCAGCTTTGCCTTTATTCCAGTAACTATAGTCAACATACATGAAAACAAATTTTGATCACATCTCTAAGTGCAATCTTTCCACAATCTGGATTTAAATTACACAATATAAAATCTTTTCTTGAACGAATATTCTTTGTCTGTATTCAAGTAGTGCTCTTCAGATTCAACGAATGCAATTACTTTGTAGACCAATATCTACTGTGATTCCCTAAACAACTAACCTTGTTTCCAGTTACAGATCTCTTTATACTGCTCTCCAAAAAACAGTCATCAGTCATCATTTTTTTATTTCCTTAGCCATAAGAACCAGTATTAACAGTGCAGTGGGGGAGGGGAGAAGTAATGCATTGTCAGAGATCCCGACTTTTGGAAGAGGGTCCCATCAGGTGAACGGTAAAGATCCCATTACACTAAATGAAAAAAGTAGGGTTTCCCCCGGTGACTTGGCCAAAATCTTCCAAATTAATTGCTTATTATCCTCATGGTTGCTTGTGGGACTACGCAAAATTATCACAGCTTTTGACCACAAAAAGAGATTCAGTACAACTAATTGTAAAGCACTTTGAGACAATCAATAGAAGGGTAAAAAGACTCTATAAACAGTTATTTTTTAAAACCAATGAAGATCATCACTTACATTTTATTTTTGTAGTTGTTATTGTTTTATTCCCAAATCTATTTATTCTGAGATTTTCAAACTATAAACAAAGTGAGCATATACTCACTTTTCCAGTCAACAATTAAGTTAAATAGTTTTCAGTGTGTGGTTTTCAATTTTCAAATATAATATCAAACAAACCAAATGCCTTTACAATGTATCTCCAAATATCCATGAATCTATATTTACCCCACAAATGCGGTCTTGCCAGCATTTAGTGAAAATGAAAACAGCCAGCTGGTATCTGTGGAACTACACCCCTGCATAGGTTGAGGGCTCCGTAGGAAGAAAATGAAGAGGAGCAAGAAGGAAGAAGCCCAAAACACATGACATGACTGAAATATAGGAATTATCACTGCTGTAATCAGAGGATCTGTCAAATGCCAGCAGTTTACGTAAAATAAGCCACAATGAAAATAAAGAAATAATTTGCATACTTATTGTATCTTATCAGGTCAAAAATGTTTCAAAATGCTTCAACGGTCATTACTGTCAAGTGTCATGACATAATAACTCACTTGCACCTTTGAGTTAAGTGAGTTATGCAATTAGTGTCGCTCTGTGGTTCATTTAGTGTAAACTACCGTCCATCTCAATAATTTATTTATACCATCAATTTGATCAATCTGATATTTGGATAAGTACGATGCTAAACTTGTAAAATTTAAAAGGAAAAAAATCATGAAATAAGTGCATGGTGGTTTGCAGTAGTTTCCAATACACCATCCCAGACACTGGGAAAGAAAACATTAGCAAAGGCAGGACTTAAAGGTTGGATGCGGCACCAGAGGGCAGTGAGATTGCAAGTGTCATTGATCGATAGTAGTTTGGATAAAATGCTGCCAGGACCAAGTTGCAACAGAAAATGGAAGCAAACTTTATCATTATCCCTGTTGCTCACATTTACAATTATGCAGAAATTTCCACCTTGTCAGTTGACCTTTATAGATGCAATTACTTGAATTACTCCTATAAAACTAATTTTGCTAGAGGGTTTTTCCTCATACCCAAACCTTTCTTAATGGCCAGAAAGCTCATTTCAGGCTGCAATTCATTAATAGTGCGACAGCAACTGAAAGGTATGAAAAAGTTTTATTACTGAAAACTGTCCATTACATAGATCTAAAGTCATAAAAGGGGGAACACATTTATGAAATTATAGCAAAGGATTTCTTTTGCCCGCTAACAGATCAGCATATGAAATAGCCTCCAACACTAAGGAAAATTTTGCCCAATGTTTCAAATTATTCTTAAGATTTTTGATCTGGTTTCCTAAGAGTTAAGGTGGCCCAGCAAGAATTACAATTATTGTTCTTAGGTAACAAGCATGTAGGCGAAACTAATATTTTGCCTACAAAATAGACAGTCACTACACTATCCAATGAGTCCTGTGAAGCTTCTGTGAAGTGCTTTGAGATGTGAAATGTGCTGTATCAAATGCAAGATTTATTTATTAAAAATTGGGCTTGGCCAGTGTTGTGAGTTCTTGCAACAAGAACACTGAGAATGTATTTAGCACTGCAGTGCCTAGAAATTCCTGATTTATTTGAAGATAGTTTTACAAATGATTTTCGTCCATTTACAAAACACAAACATACATTGGATGATCAGAAAGATTCAGTCACAGTGTCAGTTTTCATGTCTATAAAATCCAACAAACTTCACCTCCAGCACCATCATTTAAAGGAAACTAAAATGCAGAGGCAGAGATCAGTCTACTGAGCACAAAGACCATCTATTCCTAAAATTTACCTTCAATGTGACAACTTGACACTTGGAAGAAAGTATTTTAATGGAGTGAGAAAATAGCAACGCCGCTTGCCTGGGACAAATAAAAATTGGTTCACGGGAAAACAATTTTCTTTGGTACTTGTACCCTCAGACAGATAAATGGATACAAGAAGATGCTACCGCATCATTAAATACAAATATGCAATCAGCAATACATTATAGAATTATATTAGTACAGGTACTTTTTGATGAACAAATAATGTATATTTCAATTACCTGCCCTGTAAGGATTTATTTTTTGCCTTTGCCATGGTTTTCTAAACGAAAGTAGCCTTGTTTAGCTTATAACTTATATATACTTCAGAAAATATGATTAAAGCATACAATACAAGTTGAAAAAGGGAAAAAATATTTTAGTAGCATTGGAATGAGAGTACAAAGATTTAATTCCCCACTATACTGAGTTCCTATACCATCATAGGAAAATGAAGGCCAGTCACCTATTCACTTAGACAGAAAGGGAAAACACAAATCAGTTGGCCAATCAGCCCCAGTCCAATATATGTTACATTCTGGCAACAGTCCAGAACAACATTGACAGAGCCCTTGGAAGGGATCTGGCTGCCCATACCAATCTCTTAACCAGATAGTAAGTGGTCTGGGAAGATCGGAGGCATAACAACACAAATCTCGACTCATTTTGATAACTTACTTTGAAACAGGGTGAAATGGTCTGAGATGCTCCCATACGTGGATTGACACAATTGTGTTGAATTATGTTTTCTCAGATTAGCTCAGTATTTTAGTTTTTGTTATTTTATTTTTCAGTAACTGCATAAAACTGTAGATATCAATTTGAACAAATGTTGAGACTTTCTTGGCTGAACTCTAGAGATTATTGAAAATAATCATAACACAGTCTTTAGCTGTAATTAATTTGAAACTGCAATTGCAAAGTTTAAAATGTGGACCAGGTTCATCGGGTTAACTTCAGATTTCAATAGAACTAAATAGAAGTCAATTAAATAAAATTATACTGTATAATATAAATTTGAATTTAATTTGATATTAAAACGAAAGGTTTCGGAGTCAAGAGATTTGCCATCTAACAGTAAGAAGCAATACATCTTCAGGGATTCGAGTAAACTGGAGTACTGGTACTGGGAGCGGTGATAAATGATGTGTCAGGATAGAATAAGAGTTATGGTTAAATTGGTGTCCGAGAATCTCATAAGAAAAAAAATGAAAGTCTGCAACAAACAATCGGGTTTTTTTCACCCGGCAAAACCAGTTGACAATGTCTATCTAGCACATGTCATGGATCACACCGTTAAGGGCACTGCGGGATAAAAAAAATCACTTGCATTATTGATCCTCAGATTCAATGTTGTGTTTTTAATACAGTACAACCATGGCTTAAGATTTTTCCAAAACAAGCTCGAGTGCACACGAAGCCACTGCATAGTGTTGATTATACAGTATCTAGATCCACAGATACGAGGTTGTGAGCTTGCATTTGATAGGTATGGTAAATGATACCACCCACAGCTTGCTGCCGCTCAGCGTTGCAATTTTGTACGGAATTACACGTTTAGAAGAGTGGGACGCGTTTTGTCTATTAGTGCATATTTATGCGGCTTTCTAATTTAACTTTAAATCTTCAATATATGATACAAACATCCTAAATCGGCTGCAGTCTCATTGTCTCGCTCACAAGATATTTGTTTTATTCTGGTTGGTTGTTCCTAAGCACTGGAAAGTCAGCGAGTAAAGTAAACATCCTTTGGAAACTGATAAGAGCACAAGACTGTACTACTGTTTAACATTTAACACTTTGGGCACTCGATTTCTGTTACAAGTTTCAGAATACCAAATTTGAGTCAAATCCCAGTTAAACGAAGCAAACGTGATTTCTAACGCGCTAAAAAATACTGGAATAAAAAAACAGCAAGTGCTGTATTCTTAACCGCCCATGACGTCAGTTGCAAGATTTTACAACGTATTAAAGAATATCTTCTACTTTCGAAACCTCACTTCAATTCTCAAAGGATAAAAGTTGAAGTCGGAGGAAGGAGGGCGTTAAACTAGTTTAATTTTACAATCGTATCTTACCTTGAGCCAGGGTCTGCAGCACGTGGATGTGAAACAGCACAAACGTCCACAATCGCCACAAACATCCAAACAAATTAAAGTTTCCTCTTGCACCAGCAGCAGACCTGGTCGTTTTTTGGAAAACTCCGGTTTTCGGTCCCATGATCAGTTCATTGAGTCTGTTTCCGATTACCTGATTATCAATGATTCCCAAACAATGGTCTTGGTTTATTTCCTTTTGGTTATTGATTGTGCAGTCCGTGCTTCGGTTTCCTTTGGCGATTCTGACCCCCTGATTATGGATTTGAGCTGGACGCTGAAGGGGCCTGACCAGTTCGTGCATTACTATCCTTTGGTATCGACCCTTAGGGTGATTGATTGCCGATGTCGTCGAGTCTACAATTAGTTTCTGATTCAACCCAGAGTGCGATTCCCCTCTCGTCCCTCTGCTCGGGTTACCGGTTACTTCTCTTCCCCCGTTTCTCGCTCGGGTTTCGATCACTTCCAGGCGGCGATGTCGCACGGCGACTTGCTCATAGGTCACTCCACAACTCGCGGCTCCCTTCATCTGTTGATCGTGGGTCAATGGAGTTCCATCGGTCATCGTCACCATTCAATTGCAGATATCCCAACGGTGCGAAATCCTTTTCTGTTCCAATCTTCCGAACGTTGAGCAAAAAGCAAAGAGGGTTTACTTGGGAGCCGAGCCGAGTTTTTGGTGCACTGCCTGCCTTGCCTTGTACGGACAGGGTGTTAGTCCCTTTGCCGCCTTTGGGAATTAATGATTACCTTCTCCCGGGTCAGGGGTCGGGTCCTACTGCAAAGTCTCGATTTCCTGGAATACAGCTCGAGTGCAATGGCTCAGTCTCTTAACCGTTTCTTCAAAAATTTACAGGTTGTGCAATCCAGACGAAAGATGAAATCCCTCTGAATTTCTCTTCTCTCCCCCACCCCAACCCCCGCCTTTGTTTATGTTGCTTAAAATCCTGTCTTTAACAAACGAAGTCAGACGTACCCTTAATTGTATGTTTTCCTTCCCTTTTAAAACAAAACGGGACACATCTGAAAACCGCTTGAATCACGTCTACTGTCTCGCCCTCCTTCCCATCACATAAAGTTTTCCTGAGAGAGAGGTGTACCCACACACAAAAAAAATGACAGCGATCAGGAAAGGGTAGGAGGAGAAGTGGGGAGGGGGCAAATATTTGGGATTAGATATTCCGGAGCAGGAGGGTGGTGAGGGATAAAATCCCCCAAATCGTTTTTTTTTAAATAATTAACAGGGAGGGAGGGAGGGTTTTTTTTAAAAAAAAAGTACGTCTCGTCCCTCCCTCGTAAAGGTGCGATGGAGAACCGAGACGAGAGTGCTGTCCTTTCAAACTTTTAACAAAGAGTTTTTTTGGAGTGTTTTTTTTTGTTGTCCCCTTAAAAAAAAAAGAATCATTAATCTCCGTACCAGAAGGAAAAGCTGGAGAGAGGGATCGGCCGGTGGGTACGTCGGTGGGTAAAGGGGCGGGGGGTGGTGGGGGGGAGGGAGGGAGGGAGTCGGGAGCACCTCCCGAGGAGCGTTGAACGTTTGCAGAACAAAGTTTGAAGTGAAGTCAGTTGAGTTGTCAAGTCTTCCGAGTGAGCTACCAAGGTCTTCCTTTCTTCCTTCACCAACAAGAATGCGCAGTTTAGTTACCCCCCACACACACACACCACCACCACCTCTCTCTCTCTCTCTCTCTGTATGTATATATATAGGTGTAACCTATAAATATATATTTTTTTTAAAAAAAAAGACGAGGAGCGAAACACGAATCTCCCCCCCACCCCACCCCACCCTCCCACAAAAAATAAAAAAATAAAATAAAACTACAATAAAACCGTCGGGCCAGCACGCAGAGTCAATTCTATGAGGTAAACCCCTGCTTATTCTGTGAGTTTCCTCCGGTTTTTCATCGTGTTTTCTTCGGCGGCTGCTCTCTTTTTTTCTCTCTCTCTCTCTCTCTCTCGCTCGCTCGCTCTCCTCTGTCTGTCTGTCTGTCTGTCTCACTCCATCCGCCAGCGCTCTGTTCTCTTCCCTTCTTCTCGCCGCTCGACAAACTCCTCTGACAGTTGGGCTCGAGACAGTTCGAACGGCCGCTCGCCACTGGTCGGTCCGCGCGCCGGCTGCGCCTCCCGCCTCACGGAGTCGCATCCCATTGGCCCGGCTCCAGCTGCTGCCTGGGCCAATCGGCGCCCGATCAACTCCCCCCCCCCCCCCCCCCACACACCACCCCTCCCCGACCAGGTGAACCTGCCGTACTCCCATTGGATCCAACCCGCCGGGACCGTCCGCACCGCTGAAGGCGATTGGTCGCGACGTCGCCTCCCACTCTGATTGGTCGACGAAGCGCGAGCCGCCCCCCACTCGCCCCGCCCTCCCATTGGTCTCAGCCAATCAGGGGAAAGGGTTTTGCTAACTGGTGGCCACCAGGGCAACACAGAGACCCTGAGAGTCAGTCAATCCCTTTCATTCATCAGTGAAGGAGCTAAACAACTGCTCCTGCATGTTGGTATGGATTTAAACAGCAACAACAACAACAACAAGATTCCATTTATTATTATTATTATTTATAAAGCGCCTTTCACGTCAGGAGGACGTCCCAAGGCGCTGCACAGTTGGGTCATGACCCAACAGCAACTTGCATCAAGACTCTCCTCTTCGACCGTGCCTTCGGCTACCCCCCCACCCCCCCCCCCACCACCCTCCCTGCCCTCCGCCCTCCCTTACCCCTACCTTCTTCTCCAGCTCGGGTCCAAATCCCGGACTGTCCAGCGCCTTGGGACATCCTCCCGACGTGAAAGGCGCTGTACAAATGTAATCTTGCACTGTATTTATACAGCGCCCCTCACACAGGTGAGCATCCCAGGTGAGCGCTTTGAAGTGATCCTTCAGGATCTCCGTCACAAGGATCAGTTTCGGAGTAAGGTGAACATGGTAAACTGGGTACCCAGTGTCAAGCATTTTGAGGTGTATTCCCAACACAAAAGGCACTGTATAAATGTAAATCTGTGTTGTACTGTCATTGCGTCCCATTCGGTAATGTGAAGAGGGAGAGTGTCCACTCCATTCCAGACACAGAAACGTTTCCGTCTCAAAATGTAACTCTTTGACCGTATTTTCGGTCTCTTCTTTCCCCTCCTCACCCTCCTTCTCTCCCACCCTCAGCTCCAGCGCCCAGCCAGAAATATCAAGTGTTTTCCAGCATTCTCCTCCCTACATGATATACTATATCAATGTAAATTGTAATGTAGATTCACACATAGCCCTGAGTGCAACTCTCAGTCTGGGTTAGATACTCTCAAGCACAGCAATGTGTATCAGATTGACCAAAAAAAAACAGAATCATTTCCAGCATTTGTTGCAGCTCTCCTAATAATATCAGATTGTGTTGCATGTACCAACTATATAGCTATGCCCTCACCTGGAGTTCATTTGGCTAGATTCATCACTACTGTTTTCCCTAATTGTGGCCTTTCTGCAAAGCACTCACTCCCCTAAAAAATAATGTATTTTTCTTCCTGAAGCCGCTGTCTCATCCCAACTGCTGTGGCACTTTGCCCCCCAAAACATACAGTACTGTATGAATCTTTGCTGCTGACTGACCTATCATCATCATATTAATGTTGGGGGAGGAGGCTTAACTGATACATTCTCATTGTAGCTTAACTCAGCACTCATACTTCATACTCCGAAGGTGTCAGTCCTTGCCAATACCATGGTTTTCCCATGGTTAATGCCATTTGGGCCTCCACAATCCTAGTGATCCCTACATTTGATATAGTGCCTTGGAGGTTGTCTCTAAGCAGTTCACAGATAATAAATATAATGTCAGGTGTAGTGACTATTTTGTAAGCAAATATTGTTTTTTACTCACTTTTTTAAACCATGCATTACAAATTCAGTATATGAAGTAAACACCCTTGCTTTTGTATGCACTAGATGGCACTGTAATATACATCAAGGATAATGTAATTTAAAATATAAACTATATACAGTATAATTAAAGTAAGAGGGTGTTTGGCCGGGATTAATATATTGACACCATTTATTCACTGCTCCAAATAATTCCCCTAAAACTAGTGTTTTTTTCTCTATTTTTCTCCAAGTTAATTAAAAGTGGAGTGAAACAAAAAGAACCCGGAGTCTATTTTAAGAATCTCTCATTTCCTGTCATAGAGTAATTTCCTTTTCCAAAGTCAACAAAATGTACAAATATGATAGGAACACTAGATTAAATTATATGAACTGGAATTATAGCCTTTATCTTTCTATAATTAAGGAGAAAGTCTCAGAAAAACAGATCTTTGCTGGCAAGATTCAATGGTTAGGGGAGGGTACTGATATTGATAGCCCTAACTATATGTACTTTCTTTAAAATACCTTGCTTTGCAACAAAAGTGGTCGGAGTGCAGTCTGCAGTCTATGTCCTGTATTCAGTTTGTTTTCTTGGAGCTGTGGAGCAGCCAATTCAGGAAGCTGTGATTGCATTTTCCCACCTACTCTGTCTCACTGGTGTGCTTGTCTCTCTGTACCTGACCCATGTAGGATTACAAAGGCTTGCAGAATGAGCCACTTAAATCTGTACTGATATCAGTTTTTCTCTTTCACGAAAAGGGGTTTAATATGCAAGATACCTTAACAGAATTTGGTGTAAGAAGGCTGTGAATTAGATCCTTATATTAAAGCATAAGTTTATGATAAAAAATAATAATAATAATCTGTGCATTTGATGTATTGCCTAATCACATCATTTTGATGACTCAAAGCACTTCACAGAATACATTGTAAAGTGAATTTTGTAGGCGAAACGCAGCAGCCAATTGTGCACAGCAATGCGCTACAAATACTCTGAGATTTTTTTTGGGGAGGGATTATTACCCCCGGAAAACGATCCGCCAATCGACCAGCGACTGGGTTCCTAGTTCAACTGCCAGATAAAAAGAAATGTGTGGAGTTAAGAAACTTGCCAAAGGTTTTATCCCACCCAGGAATTAAATCTGGGTCCTCTCACTTGCGAGGCGAGCTTGCTAACCACTATGCTACAGGACTCCACAAGGTCCATTTTGGTCAGTGGCTAACTCATGGCCCACGGGCCGAAAGTGGCCTGCGGGGTGTCAAGAAGTGGCCCGCCGAACATTCGTACTAGTCTAGGTAGGTCAAACAAAATCAATGTTTTGTTTCTAGTAGTTACTGAGTAGTGATATTTATGGTGTGGCCAAAAATCAAGAAATATTCTATCAAGAAAAAATGGTTTGGTTTGCTGACCAAAAATGTTGGCCACCACTGATTTAGGTTCTAATTACAGAGAACAGCTGAGGACATGCAATCAGAAATCTTCATCCTATGTAGCAGAAATGCTAAAGAGGATTCTTTGCCTGGGATTACACCCACATCACATCCTGTCCACTGACATTCAAGAAAAAAATATACACTGGATTTTATAAAGCTCCATAGAGGACACCAATAAACAACACAGATAAAAGGGAAAACCCATAAACAACAATGATTCAAGTTGTAAAGCTTTTAATAATAAAAGATGATGGAGGAAGTCACCAGGTTGATATAAAATGGTAATAATATTTACACAGAAAACTGCCTTACTTTGTAAGTAAGAAAATTAAATTTGGCACTGAATCATCTTGCCTTTTCTCTTCCACATCTTGTTAACTGGTTACTTCCCAGGCTTTTCTTTTATTATTTTCACGCTTTCCTTTCCTTCCTCCCCCAGAAGTTTTTTAGTTTCTTCCCTTTTTGCTCCATCCTACACTTTATCTGTAGAAGAAAAATCCAGATTCTGTTGTTTCCTCTCAAAATATTTATGGGTATCATTAATGTCAATAAAGCCGTTTGTCCAAGGTCTGACTGATATTTCGTCACAGGTCGCAAAAAAGCCAATCAACCACTAAACAGAGTGACTTCACATAAGAGCTCATGAATATATCACTTTATCAGAATCCAGGTTGTTTACAGACACTAATTCCAGTTCTGTTTCTTATGCCTTGACCCCCAATGACCTGTTTCTATGGCTACTAAAAGCCTTTTGCTGAAGGACTGCCACTTTGTGACAGTCGAACAATAATTTACTCCTCC